TTATTTAAGCATTAAACTGCATTTGAGAACTGTTGAGAAAACTTGCAGGAAAGAAAAAGGCAAAAGCTAGTTCACACCTGAGCAGGGCTTTATTCTGTTGAACTGACTGTAGAGTCGGCAGTCGTCTCAACATGTGGAACTGTGATGACTGGGCTCTTGCTTTTAAAAGGTTCACAATGCTTCTCTCCACACAGGCAGGGTTTTTCCATGTAAGTTGGAACAAGTCAGTCTGGTAGTTGTTCTTTTTTTTCGATTACAAAGTGATGATAACGTCTCTCTTGTAGACAGGCTTTACTTGTCAAAACCGCTGCCTCCATTGGCTTTTAATTGGATCCTTGTAAGGGGGGTCAGGCCCATAGACATTCTTATCCCCATTTTAGAGACTGAGAGAGGAAATGAGGGCATGAAGGCATCTGGCCCGGGGCTGGGAGCTGGCGGGGACAGCAGCCAGAGCTCCATTGACAAGAGGGCTCCTTAAGGGCCATTTAGTTGGCCTTTAACTCAATTAGTCCCCCCAAATGTTTTTGTTTTTTTTTTTTATGCTTGCATTTATGTCTTTGATCTCATCAAGTGGAAATTGTGGTTCTGTCCAGGACAGTCTTGTTGCTCACCCAAGGCAAGGACATGGATCCGTGCATCTTTTTGAAGCCTCAGTGATTTTATTCTCTATATTTATGTGTACATTTTAAAACTAAAGAAGGTTTGTGGCTTCGGAATCCCTAGATCTGGGATCTGCTAACTACTCAATGGTGACCTTGCAAGATCATGCCACATGCCTCAGACTTGGTTCCCGCATCTATAAAATAGGGTTGCTGTGAGAATTACAGATAGTAAATGATGCAAACCATTTAGCACAATGCTTGAGTACTCCATATCCAGACTATGGCTAGTCCTGTTGCTTCTATCCTCCAAACATCGTGTATCTAGAATTTAACCACTCTCATTGCTCCTCAGCTAAAGCTCAAAGCCACCTTTGTCCCTTGGGTATTATAGTGAGTGACAGCGCCTATCTAAACTTTGTTTCTGGGGAGCCTGGTGCCTGAGTCAGTTCAGCATCTGCCTTTGGCTCAGGTCATGATCCCAGGGTCCTAGGATGGAGCCCTACGTCTGGCTCTCTGCTCAGCGGGAGCCTGCTTCTCCCTCTCCCTGCTCCATCCCCCTGTTAGTACTCTCTCTAAAATAAATAAATTAAATCTTTAAAAAAAGTAAATAAACTCTATTTTCACCCATTCCCTTCCTCCAGTTTATTGTCAACGAAGAGACCAGAGTGAACCTTTTGAAATGCAAATTCGATAATAAGGAAACGCTCCTCAAAGCCCCCTAGGGGCTTCCCATCCACCCAAATCCAGTGTCCTCACTGTTGCCCACAGAATCCTACAGGACCTGGCCCTTAGCCATCTCTGCAATTTCTTTCTCTCCCCCTCTCCTCTTGCTTTCTCTGTTCCCGCTACTTTGTCTTCTTTGCCACATCTCAGTCTGAGCAAGTTCTTGCCTCAGCCTCTTCACATTTATTTATTTTATTTGTTTTTAAAGATTCTTACTTATTTGACAGAGACACAGCGAGAGAGGGAACACAAGCAGGAGGAGTGGGGGAGGGAGAAGCAGGCTTCCCGCAGAGCAAAGAGCCTAAAAAGGGGGATGCTTGATCCCAGGACCCTGGGCCCAAGGCAGATGCTTAACGACTGAGCCACTCACTGTGCCCCAGCCTCTTCACATTTAATGTTCCCTCTTCCTGGAAAAAAATTTCCTTCAGATTCACTGCCTGGTTCACTCCCTCACTTCCTTTGGGTTTGTGCTGCAATATTACCTTACCCATCCCCTTCCCAACCTCCTGTATATCAGTGTGTGATGCATCTATTAATTTCCTATTAATTCAAGCAACAGATGCTCTATCAGTACTTGAGATGGTTAGTAAATTATAATAAAAAGAACAGTTTACATGCCATGAATTTTGCTTTCCCTGGTGGGTGGCAATCTATCTTCTTTGTATACTCTGTCGCCTGCAATGGATCTTAGCTCAGATGATGCCTCCAGCAAGAAATCTTCCTTGATCAGTCAGGGCAGAAGTGATTCTTCACTTCTCAGTGATCAATCTGTACCACTCCCTTTTCCCTTGTGTTGTCGTTTTTATAAGTATCTTCTCTTAAATATAAAAAGACATTGGACATATCATGTACAACTTCATATAATGCAAAATTTGTAGGACAACCTCTCTTGTAATCCCTTTTAGATATTTAGGAAAAGTTACATATGCAAGTTACATTTACATACATATTCAAGTTGTATAAATGAGTTCACATTGATGAATAAGTGTTATTTGGGATGGGTCATAGAGCCCAGAACCCAAAATCTCAGACTTAGTATTTTCAAGGAGGAGAAAAATGAAAATATTAAACTACAAAAGTCAATTAAATGTATGATAAAAAAAGACTATATGAACATAAGGCTGAATTGTATGGAACTATCTTCATGGGTCCACAGATCCATGTCATATAAATATGACAAACTGACATATTTATAAAGAGTTTTGGTAAGAAGTGGTGGTCATTTCTTCTTACCTCTTTACAGTAATTCTACGTTTCTTATTTTCTCTATGCTTTTGTTTACCATGTCTTAGAAATATTAGTAACAAAATAATTTTCCTGTGCTATAGAAAAGAAAGATTTGTATATTACCGTTCTTTTTGGACTATCATGGTAGTTCTGTATGGATGTAATTTTTTGTGATCATGGTACTTTAAGTTTGATTGTCTTGTGTGGAAAAGCCTCAGGCACTGACCTAAGTCCTTTTTCACTTAAATCTTAAAACAGCCCTATGGGACATGTAGGTATTTGTTAATCACATCATGTTACTCTCATGTTTAAAAACTCTCTAATGGCTCCCCATTTCACTTATAGGAACCTCAAACTCTTACTGTGGTTATGGGACCCACCCACCAGGACCCTGTCCATCTCTTCCACTCCGTCTCTTATCAACTCTTTCACCTTGCTTCACGCTATATGGCCTGGTCTCCCTCTGTCCTTGAACATGCCTAACCAAGCTGCTTCCTGACTTGCGCCTGCTGTTCCTTCTGCCTGAAATGCTGTAATCAGATCTTTCCGTGACTCTCTTTGTCCCCGTTAAGTCTCACCTTAAATTTTAGTTTCTCATTAGACTTTTGTTTTAAGAAAAAATAGCAACCAGAAACCTTTTATATGGGGTTGTCAGATTTAGCAAGTAAAAAATACAAAACCCAGTTAAACTTGACTATCAGATAAGCAACAAATGGCATTTTAGTGTGTGGTGTACAAATTCTGGACATACCTATACTCAAAGAGTATCTGCAATTTAAACTTAACTGGATGTCCTGCAATTTATCTGGCAACCCTACCTCCATAGCCACTCTGTTATGGTACCCTGCTTAATTTTCTTCATGGGACTTTTCTTTTTAGAAATTCTGTTTACTGTTCGACTCTCCTACCAGAAGGTGGGCTCCATGAGAGTGGGGCCCTGTCTGCCCTGCTCACAGCTTCATCCTCACAGCCTCTCATATTGCCTGACACATAGTAGGTGCTCAATAAATATTTATTAAGTGTTTGTTATAAAGGTTAAAAAAAAAAAAGACTAAAAAGCCAGGATGGTAAGATCTCGAGGGCATACTGTTAGCTAGAGGAGACTGGAATCAGACAGTATGGTGCCAAAGCCCAGGGAACTCTTCGTGTTTTCCACATTTAATGGTGTGGAGGGCAGTGGAGGAGGGAAGGGACACCGTGTCACCTGCTTTTCAAGAAGCACTCTTAGTAGAATCAGAAGACCCTTGGATCAGTAGATTTAGGGAGAAGCAAGGTCTGAACGAGTGAAACAAACCCTTTTCCATTTGCCTTGCAACGAAGCAAAGGAAGTAAATGCACTTGGATTAAAACAAGATTCTCTGCGTTTGGAATGGTGGGAGAGCTCTTGGACATCCTCCACATCTTCGTCCACCATAAACTCCCTGCAACTTTAGGGCTGGCTAATTTACAGTCAGACTCCGGAAACCTCTAGGCCTGGATCACAAAAGGAACTACCGGTGTACATGCAAATAAAGAGCAAGGAGGCTGGATAGGATGAAGTCAAGACAGAAGAAATCAAACTCTCTTGTTGGATCCAGGGCACACAACGCGGCGGGAGCAGCAGTGTTCAGCCCCAGAATTCGGTCAGGTTCACCTTTCGGTATGGACGCTCTGTGCCCCACAGGACCCACCCAAGGCGCATAAGCTTCTCTCTAGCTTCACTTCATTGGACCCAGACACTAGCCGGCGCGCGCGTCCAGCCATCGGCCCAAAGAGAGCTACGTGGGGAGCTGTGGCCAGATCCTGGGGAGCAACCTGGCGCTGGTCCCTACCCATCTCCACCCAGCTCTCGCCTGCCCACCCTCCCACCCAGGAGCTGGAGGATGGTCCCGGGGTGCTCCCGCGGGGCTGCTGGTCGCGCTTGTCTTCAGCCCGATCCGCCCTGTTGTGTGAGTGGCGCGCGAGCCCAGTTGGAAGGCAGCCGCCCCCGCCGCTGACAGGTGCTGCCCTGAGGGCGCAGGGTGCGGTCCCTGGCGCAGCTGGACGCGCACGCTCGGGCGCTTGCAGCTTCTCCAGTCCAGAGCCCGCGAGCAGAGGGAGCCAGGGCGCGGCCTGGGGGACTCCAGGGGACTGGAGCTGCGGAGCTCGGACCTCGAAACTTTGCAGGCGCGGCGGCCGGGATTCGGTGGCAGCGCCAGCCCACCCCGGCAGGTGCACAAGGAAGAGGCGGCGCCGGAGTCCGGCGGCCGAAGAGCCTTGGAGGCGGCGGCGGCGGCGGCGGCGGCGGCTTTCCCCCGCGCTGTCCTGAAGCCGCCGGGCACTCCCGGCTTCTGCTGCTGCGCCCGTCGCCGCCGCCGCCACCACCGCGGGGCTCCGGGAGGAGGTGCAGCCGGAGAGGGCGGAGGAGAAGAAGGAAGAGGAGGAGGTGGAGGAGGAGGAGGAGTGGAGAGGAGGAGCAGGGGGTGGAGGATGGAGCCCCGGGCAGCCGCGGCGGGGTCGCCCGAGCCTGCGGCGGCGTCCTCCTCCTTCCAGGCCCGGCTCTGGAAGAACCTGCAGCTGGGGGTGGGCAAGAGCAAGGGCAGCGGGGGCGGGCGCGCAGGGGGCCCAGAGCGCCGCACTGCGGACACCCCATCGCCCTCCCCGCCACTCCCGGGGGGCAGGCGGGACGCACTGGCCGGCGTGGGTGGCGCGGGCAGCAGGTGGAGCGGCTTCAAGAAGCGCAAGCAAGTGCTGGACCGCGTCTTCTCCTCCTCCCAGCCCAACCTGTGCTGCTCCTCGCCGGAGCCTCTCGAGCCCGGCGGCGCCGGCAGAACCGAGCAGGGGTCCACCCTTCGCCGCCGGATCCGTGAACATTTGCTCCCCGCGGGAAAGGGGCCGGCGACGACCGCCGGAGCAGCGGGAGGGACGCCTCCTGGCGGACGCTCCCCGGACTCGGCTCCCTCTTCGTCCTCCGCCTCATCCTCCCTGTCCTCTTCGCCCCAGCCGCCCGCGAGGGGGGACCGCGCCCGAGATGAGGGTGCACGGCGTCGGGGCCCCGAGGCGCACTTGTGCCATCAAAAGAGTTCATCCCTGCCGGGCACTGCCTGCCTGGAGCAGCTGCTGGACCCGCCGCCGCCTCCCGCAGAGTCAGCTCAGAGCCCCGTGCAGCCGCGGACCCCGGAGAAGGGCGAGGAGCTCGGCAGCAGCCAGGTGAGCGACCGCTGCGCGCGGCGGGAGACTAGGTGCGCGGGACACACCTCCGGCTTCGGGCAGTCGCTACCCGGGGAGACGCAGGGGAGTGGAGGTGCTACAAAGTAAATCAAATAGTGAAAAGCAAACAGTCCCGATCCTGCTCAGTAAAGATATAGTTCTGACTTGCACCCTGACGTTACTTTTGGTAGAAATAACTCCTACTACCAGAAGCTTTTTGGGTAGCTTTATGCGTTGCCAATGAAAATGGAAGTCTTAATAGTAGCCAAATGGGAGAGGAATAAAGTTAGACATAAAATGGGTACTTTTTTTTGGAGGTCTCCTAGAAGGGCTGTCTTAGCTAAGTCTCACCTTCTCTAAAGAAAAACAAACACAGCAACTTAAAAAAAAAATTACAGCCATGTATGAGGGTGCGGAGGGGCCACTATTGGAAACAACTGGAAACAAATGGTTTGCGGGAAGGGACAGTAATGCGGAGAGGTGAATCGTTGGCAAACGTGAGGCCGTTTATTGGGGAAACCCTTAAAGCAGAAGTCTGCTTGTTTTCTCGCACTCCCTTCTAAAAAGTTCCGGCTGCAAGTCGATAGGGGCCCAACAAGTGGACAGCGTGAGCGTCTCAGCCGCGTTAGTCAGACTCGCTCCTATGGCCTTTTCCAAGTTTCAGTAGTCATCTGAAGCGGTTGCGTCTTAAGTATGCTGCTTTATGTACATCGTGTTGCCTCTTTGTTCAAGCAAGAGTTAAGTTTGGTCCGACAAGAGTCAAGTAAAAATGAACTTGTAGGATTCTTAAGGCGTTCCACTGAGCAGCAGCTTTTACTCCCTCGGTTTTGGAGAGGAGTTGCGCTCCTTTGGTTAATACTTATAAATTGTGTTAGTGCTAGCAAGCATTTTGAAAGTTCCAGTCTATCAGTGACCTCAAAGAACTCTTTTCCTCCAATACATCTTAGCTTATTTAAATTCCCATTATTTTGGCTCTGATTAATTAATCTTTAATTAATTTAAAGGTTAATCTTTAATTAGATTAAAATTTGAGCTACGAAACCCTAAGGCCATGTTTTGAACAGCAAGATACAGGAATAGATGGGCTATCCATTGAAATTTTTATAGTTTATTAGGTAATTACTGTAGTTTCAGAAAACAAGCCAGAATACAGGTGGGTAACCTGATGTTGTTGATGCTCTAGAAGACATCTGATGTTTTAGAAAAAGTTCTTATTCGGAGAAGAGTAGGTAGAGATAACATTGACAAAGAGTCTAAATAACTCTACTTTTCCTTTTATCTTGAAAGGTAACTGAATAGAACTCCTGTTTCTGGTTTCAAAAGTAAAAAATGTTTTTAAAAGGATGCTTTAAATTCAGTGTAGAGGAATGCTATATATTTTAATAGAATTTACTTTTGAATGTGTACATAAATCTAAGGTATAAGAACTTCAAAGTTGGGGTACTGTTTACATTTGTCTTTATTAACTTCTATGATCAGGACTAATACAACAACCAATAATTGAATTATTCTGAAGGTAGATATATTATTTAACCCCCCAAATTCTTTGCAGTTCATCGAATCAAGATTCTCAAAGCAAAAGCAGAGAATTCTGAATTAATCTTTGTTAGTTTTTACCAAAAAGTTTTCTGACACTATCAATCTTTAAAAAATACTGCCATGTAATTATGAATTTTGTATACCAAAGACCTCAGCCTGTTTTGGAGAGCATATCACACTAACATTGTGTGTGCCCTCACCATATGCCTTACAGCCTTACTGGATTAGATCCTCCCAGCACCCCTACAGGACAGAAGTTCTCGTTGCCATTTTATGGATTAGGAAACTGATGCTCAAAGACATTAAATAACGTTTCTAGGGTCACATGGTTAATAAATGACAGAGGTTTTATACTAAAATTCTCCAGAGTCTTTTTACATTACTATAACCCTTTGACAACTTTTAGAGCTTGTGTGTTTCTGAGATGACTTCAGTCCTAAGATTAATGCTTGCAAGTTTACATACATTCTGGGGGGTTTCTCCCCTTCCTAGAATCAGTTTCATGATGTATTAGCTATATTAATTTGTTCTTTTCTCTGTGATACATTATTTCATAACTATGACATCACATTTACAAGTGACATTATTAATTATACCATCTAAAGAAGCTTTTCATTATAAGGAACCAGCATTTCAATGAAGACATAAAAGGAATAACAAAGCTAAACCACCTTTCAAAGAATAGGTGAAAGGTGGGGTGTAGGCAGAACAGTAGCCCTGAGGGGCTTGTTTGAGGCCATCACACAGTCCTAGGAAGAGACACCATTGCTGGTTTCCTGCATCTGCTGCTCATGGGGAGTCTGTTCCTTGAGGAGTGGACAGCCTTCTCTTAGGAGTCACAAATCTGGCTTTCAGCAGCACTCTCTCACCAGTGCAGAAGCAGGATTCCTTGGTCCTCCCATGGCCCCTCTGCCCAATTCCTAGAGCCCGGCTGGCTCACCTTGTGATGAAGAAGAGGAAGAAATAGAGTTGGAAGCTGGAAGTAGAAGAGGACTCCATGAGGTGTCCAGGAGTAGGTTGAGCTTCATGCACCCTTGCAAGCTTCCTGCATCACTCAGAGATCTTTCCTTGCTCTCCCAGCCCCTGTCCTCACAGCATACTTGGGCTGGAGGAGGGAGAGTGTAGCATGTGCAGATTCCTATGTTGTTCACCAAGCCAAATAGGTACACATGAAAGCAGAGACAATAAGAGCACTGAATACATCTTCAGATTGCCTAGATAAAAAGAACTTTCTTTCAAAGAAGAAAGAAAATTCATTGCAAAAATAACGCAAATGTCTCAGTTTTTCTCTGCTTGATCCTGGCATTAGCCCTGTTCTCCAACACCTCCCTACCTCTCCACCTCCCCCCTCCAGCTCAGCATGAGGCCACAACAACATATGTGCATAAACTCTGACTCTGGGTGGAGGTATTAAGCAAAAGCAAAAGCAAAAACCAGAAAACAAAACAAAACAAAAAACAAAAAAACAACTACATCAGTTTGAACTCCTGGGGGAAAGAGATTTGGAAATCACTGATCTACAATGATTAAGGCTGAGCAAACCGAGCTGCCTCCCAGCTCCCTCTTGCTACTCTGTGGTCTTCATCCCGATATACCTCTGAAAGGCACTTTAACAGAGTTAATAATGCCTTGTTGTTAGGGCATGTACATTATTCAAAATGTTCTGCTTTGAGAAAAAGAAAAAAAACCCATTTCTTCCCACTGATTCTAGTTCACGTGCTTGGCCATATTGTCATACCAGATGCATTTCATTTTCTGCAACACAGTTGGGAAAGATGCTTTCTCAATTTGTGTGCATATCAAAAATATGCCAATTTTATGTATTCTGTCTTGATGAGTTACTAAAATTATATTTTGCTAGAATCAGGAAGCCAGTATTTTAAGATAAAGAGTGAAGAATGAATATGTCCCATTTTTTTAGGGCTTTAACAAAAGCGTGAAGTTTATGAATGTTAAACTTTTATTGTTTTTTCTTTTAAATTCATGTTGTTAAAATTGCTTTCATAGAGAAGCAAAAAAGTTTTTGTAAAAAAAGTGGCTACATTATTCAGGGTATGATAGAAATGTTTCAAAACACAGAGGAATATTCATTCATTGGGATAAAATTCCTAAGATACATGTGTAAGCTCCAACAAAAAGTAGAAAAATATTATCTAAGATGAAGTCTATACATGAAGTGCAGCTTGGTTCATTAATTATCTGACCTTTTAGAGAAAGCTTATGTTTTCAAAAATGACTTAAAAATGTGATTTGGGTTAATTTTTGCTATTTCCCAGGTGTCTTTAATATTACTTGAAAGAACACTTAATCTGGGGGAAGACACAAATGTAAAGAAATGTAATTCCTAATGTGAACGACTTAAAATCACCAAAAAACGAATACTCTCAAAAACAAGCCCTAAAAGCAATGTTAATAACTTTTTCCAAGCTTTTTCAAAGTGAGAGAGGAAGGATGAGATCTTAGGACATTTTGGAATAGGGCATGAAGTTTGATGTGTGATAGCATTCTAAAAAATACTGGGATCATCAGTTTATTGCAGAGGAAGAGAGTAAACAGTGACAGGTTTACTTGGGAGTGGAATTATTTTTCTATGACTTTTATGTTCTATCCTGTGTATCTGGAAGATTTGAGTACAGCTATGAATCTTGGCTATATGGAAATGTTATCAAGTAAATATTATGGGAGCTCAATAAACCCTAGCAATTGCTAGTATATTATAGTATAACAGTGTATTAAAGTTTTGCCACTGCCACCATTACAAATAAGTGGGTGGCTGAAAAAAAATTAACGGGGAACTTTGCTGGTCCTCCTCATTTAAGATGTAAATTATTTTACTTGCATGGGTGGCAAAAGTAGCCTCAGATTAACCAAGGTGGTACTGGTGACATCACAATTTCACAGAGTAATGAAAAAAATCTTATATTACTTTTGGCAAGTGTGTGCACATTATTCTGGAAAAGTGAAATAAATACTTAGAGAAAATAGGATTAATAGATTCATAAAGATAATAGGATAAGCACTCTCCCTTTTTCCTTTTGCCCCGTCATTTGGAAATAAGGGATGATTTCAAAAAATTAAAGGCTTATCATACATCTTTTGTAACTCAGAAACATGTAGTGTGGTTTCTTGCCTTGTGATGGTTATCAAAATGTTGGTCAACTCTAGACTGACGAAGAATAAATAGTCTAGATAATTTTGTAAGCATTGACAAAATCTGCATATTCTGAAGTTAGGGTCGTGTGTTTTCTTGTTAATTCATACTATTTGCATTGTCATAGTCCTATGTTGAAATGACGTTTTTGAAATCTGAAACGTTTTGGTTTTGACTTCTTTTTTTTTCCCCGGAAAACTTACTAAACATGATATATTTCCTTGCCTCAATAAGCCAAGAGTCCTAAATAAAACCTGCTCTTGGTAACTGAGGCTTATTGTTTGAAAACTGGCTTTTTTGTTTGTTCAAT